AGTAACAAGTGCCACGCTAGTAGTAACAGGTGCCTTACTAGTAACAAGAAGCTAGTAGAAACAAGTGCCACGCTTCTAGTAACAAGTGCCTTACTAGTAGTAACAAGAAGCCATTAGTAACAAGTGCCACGCTAGTAGTAACAGGTGCCTTACTAGTAACAAGAAGCCATTAGAAACAGTCTGAAAGACTTGACTGGACCAAGTTCGCCAACTTTCGAAACGGAAGACGAACACCGCGGCGAGACGGCTCTTTCGTTCGGCTCCGCGGCGCCTCTTTCGTTGCACCGCTTCCTGGAGCAGCGTCGCCTCCATTGGCATCTGCCTCCACTGGTCCATATGCTCCACCACCTCAAGTTGGTCCAGTATCAATTAAACAGTCAATTTAGTCACGCAAATGGCAAAATCCATTGATAAGAGTGAAACACTTTACTTGGACAAAAAGGTGGAAACTCATGCTTCTTTTTCCCATGGCCGGAGAACCGAGCATCACAACGGATGCTCAAGAAAACCCAGCACTCAACCAGTCGTTAGCCCAGTCGTCTCTCACTGATTTAAATGTTAAAAAGAATGTGACTGAAGAGAAGCTTGACTTGGGCCCCTTATCTCTCTGTTCCTAGCAGCTTCTTGTTCCTAGTAGTATGGCCAGGAGCTACTAGTAGCATCCTTGCTCCGAGTAGAAATGCCCTTTGTTACTAGTAGCGATGCCCTTGTTACTGTCTTTTGCATCTCTCTTTGGGCCAAAGAGCCGTCAAGGCTCGGCTCCCTTTGGCTCGTCTGGCAAGCGCGCCTGGAGCTGACGGCCCTCTTGCACTTCCAAATGGTTTTTCTGTCGGTCGAATTGGTCGAATCCTATTGGGTCGCTCTCGATCTCGAATATCTGTGGGTCCAAACCAAGAGCCCAAACAAAACAGGGAATTGAAGTAGTATTGCCCTTTGCTACGTTCGTAGCTTCTTGTTCCTAGTAAGGCCGGGAGCGCCCCTAGTAGCATCCTTGCTCCTAGTGGCGATGCCCTTTGTTGCTAGTAGCTTCGTTCTTTTTGTCCCACCAGATCGGCGATCATCGCTGCGATTCAGACGTCAGACGCCAATGAAAGCAAACACTCCCGGGGGTCCTGATGTGCTTCTACATCTTCTCCAACCTGCGAAGAACAATTTGTTTGTTTCCAAGATTTTGCATCGGTTTCTCCGTGAACATTGATCAACACGGTCCAACGGTCTACCGTTGCTGATCCATCCGCAGTCAAACCTACATAGACCTACACCATCATACGACCAAGGCGGTTGGCAACCCCATCCTCGGACTGTCTGACCAACGACCAACACTGCCTCAGGGCAGGGCAGAGAAAAATCTGAGCGAATCGTGCAATTCAAGTGCAGAGTCTCAGTGCTTCCGTCTTAAATCTGGTCCAAAGAAACTCATTCCAGGTCCTAATCTTTGCCAACCAGAGGGGGAATGTCATAGTGACTCCAATGGCCCATTGCAATTCGTTGATTCCCAAACCATTGAGTCTCTTGCCGCTGCTTCTGCTACCCCAATTGCATAGTACTGTCCAGCTCTCCAATCGGCCTGAAATCATACACGCGCGGTGCCACCGCTTCCAGTGTGTCAAGTGATAAGTGGAACGAGAATGAGGAGATGTGTCTCAGGATCATCTCCAGAAGCTGCTGAGGAGATGTCTCACAAGCCCTCAGATTTGTGACTATAAGAGATGTCGTTCTGTCCAAAGTGTCTGCTCTCCACCCAGTTAAGGAAGGTCCACAAGAGAGGGAAACAAACGGGTAGCAAAACAATTATCAAATCATTGTGCCCAGGAGATTGGAGAAGAGTCGAGGAGATTAGAGAAGGTTTGAGACCAATCAAAATTGGAGAATGTTTGTTGATCGACCTCCTAATCATCCTTAATCTCTACAACGTACACTATTGCCACATGTGTGCTTGGATATTTGCTTCTGACCCTCGGTAGATTGAACATGAACTCCTGTCAGAGTGAGCCAAATTGAGACTAACTAGGTAGACTAACTGCTGCACCTCACATCAAGCACCTCGGAGAGAACGGCAGAACTCGCGGCGCCTGCACCGGAGGCACCTCAACATACGATCGGGAGGACCACGAGGAGCTGCTTGTCCTCACCACGCACTACAGCTACTCAAGCCCGGTGCACCTCCAAAGACCGTTGACAAGGGGTGTTGGTCTTGAGAAAAGTGAAGTGATGCTGCTTCGGTTATGGCGGCCATGTTCGCAATTTGGCGAGGAATTGGAAACCTGGATTCTTCCCAAGTGTGGAACCCAAGGCCAACCTCTGGTCTCGCCTCAGAGTTGCAACAAACAGCTCTCCTACCACCGAAGTGAGGCTCTGGTCAGCCATTTCGTTGCTCTCTTCGGACCATTTCGTCTTGTCTGGAGGGTTTCGGTCGGCGACCTCCTAAGGGTCGACGACGGAGTAGCTCAGTCGCTCCGAATCCGAAGACGGGTCAATCTGTGCAAGAGATCTGACAATGCAGTGGGTGGCATCTGTGGGGAAGCCATGAAAGAGAGAAGCCAAAAGCTTCATGATGCAATGAAAAAAATGGTTGTGTTGAAACCCTCTCACAGAACAGTCCTCAAGGAGACGGGTTGCAAAATCTCCATGAGGCACTTGCCCAAGAGCTCGGGTTTTAATGGAGTTCTTTCGCTCTGCTTGAGCAATCAGTCGATCTTTCCTCGCTTAAAAGCACACTGAGATCAAACACGAAGCATCTGTCTATCCGCCCCAAACGAGGAAACCTATCATTGAAAATTTGTGCCAAAGTAAGAGACATCACGTGTATGACATGCCGGTTGATTCATGTCTTAAGTGTCCATCGATTGCTGACACGGATGGCGCTTGAGCATGCGCGACACCGGACAGTGCTGACCCGACAGCTACAGTTGAATTCATTCTGAAAACACTGATCCTCACATATTCATTCTTGCAGACATCTAAAGCACGTCAAGTTGATCTGAGCTTTACATGTAGCCACCATGACTATAACCATCTGGTTTTCGATAGCAGACATGTGCAATCAGTGGTTGTCTGGGCCACTTCCCCGACGCAGTTCTCCTTTTCTTGCATTCTGCGCTTGCGCACGTGTTTGTTGGCCCAACCCACTTAGAACTGAGGATGGGATTTAGGCCAAACCGTCTAAGATTATGCTGGCAGCCTCGCGATGCTGAAACAGAAGACGCTGAGTGGCAGCTGCACCCCAGGAAAGATCCCAAAGTTTGGCGCTCAAAATCCTGGAAACGGCCCCGTGGCCGACATTTCCATGAAACGATCGAAAAAAAAGGATGTGACAATGTTCCATTTCATGAGCCACAAAAAAAGCTCCAACATCTTCTTCAGTTCTTCAGTTTGTGAAAGCCGAGGAAATTGGGTCAAATCTCTTGGGACCTGAAACAATTCAAACGAAACCAACGTCCAAATTTTGCCACGACCGTTGTCATAGCTCTCATGCAAGCGTAGCCACATGTATCCAATGGCTACACCATGTGCATACGAAGAAGTCCACTGCAAAGCAAACAACACATGACGGAGGGAGTTTTGAAAACCAAAACTCCGCCCGCACTGCAATCTACAATCGGGCAATCAGGGGGATGGCAGGGGGGCTTGGATGCTAGGCAACCAGCAAGCATTCCTGCAAAATGAGGGAACTCTCCTGGTAAGAATCAAAACTCCAGCTTCTGTTGTCAGCAGATTCAGTGCTGCTTGCTCTTTGGCGCTGCTTTCATGGCCAGAGCAGGATCCACGTGTTGTTTCGGTGCATGTCCTCCCCTCTGCCCTCCATCCTGTCTTTGGCCTTCACTGACTTGCCATTGCAGAGCGGCCAGGGCGGCGTTTCCACCTCCCTCCAAGGAAACTTGAGAAAAGTCTAACCACCTCCCCCGCACCGGAGAGCCTCACAACTTCATTTCTGGCGGAGCCTCACGCGTTCGGTGCCCAAACTGTGGAACAGCCATTTGCACCGTAGAAAGGAATGATCTGAGGAAAACAAGGAAGCTGAGGATTGTTTCTTTTCGTTCGTTGTCTATGGCTGTTCCCGTTTTTCAGGTGTCTTGCTAACGACCACGCCTCCAAGTGGTGCATCATTTCGCCAATCCTGGATTGGATTTCGCGAAACATCTTTAGCGCAGAAATTGGATTCGTATCTTTCATTATCTTTCTCTTCAGTATGTTCCGTATTCTCCTTCTCCAACTTTCCAACTTCCCCAGTCCCTACTCTCTTCGTACATGCTGCTTTTGTTGATCCACCAATTGCATTGACGACAAACTAAAGAAAACCAACAGGTGGAGCAAAGACACGTCAGACACGACTCGTTCTTTCAAAGCCAAGCATCTCTTCGTCAATCTCATCAAGCTCGGCAGTTGCGTCACCATCCACCATACTGGCGATGCTGCTCTTTACGCGTCCGCATGCACTCCGTGGTGTGCGTCAGAGAAAGGAACCATGAATGGAACGCATCACGGATCCATGTTCACCCTCCGCCCCGCCACAAAAAGGCCTTGTATTGGCACGCCACAAGGCGGAGTGAACCTGGTTCACAAGGGGCGTCTGGTCGTCGGTCATCGCACGGTCCACGTGTTTCGGTCCACGGCGTGTTAGTATTTTTGTTTCGCGTCCGCACCTCGTGGAGTTTCTCTCGCAGGGACTGCTGCTCCAGCTGTTGAAACAGGTCAGACAAGACTTGCCTGCGAGTGTAAAATCATGAAACAAAGGTTTCAAAGAAAGGACCTGCGAAGCAGGGCCAATCATGAAAAGAATCGCTTCAAAGGTTTCCTCGACTCTCGACCGAAGATGGTCAGACATTTTGGCAATGCCATGCTGCCTTAAGGTCATGTACACCACACCCAGGAAGGTTGTGGCAAAGGCAGGGATGAAAAGAGCGTGCTGGCCCAGGATGCTTTCTGCGAGGGCACCTTCCACGCAATGCAGAAACTAGCTAGATGTCTCAGAGCTCAATAATGAGCGAGAACAAATGCAAGACACATTGCATTAAGCAGAGCTACTTCATGTCTCGATGTCAAAAAATGTTCAATCTCAAGTGAACATCAGAGGACATAAAATCATAAGCAATCAAGAAAAATATATGCATGGGGAAAATATCAGTGACAATTGGCATCCAAGGTTGGAACAACGACAAGTCCATGACATCCTTCTCAACCCCTAGTTCTTCACAGCCAAACAGGCTGGAAAACAATGAGAAGTACAAGCATACTTTGCGTATGCCCTTCTACAGATTGTACCTGCAGAGTGAGGCTTAGCAGGCTTAGCCCTGAACGATGTTCGACGGCATGGTGTAAGTCGAATCAACCAGGTCTACAGCCAGTATTTATATAGCAAATCCGCGGACCACACACAGAAAAAGGTCGACAGGAGTCACATGTAAGATGAGTCTCTGCTCTCAGGTCGTAAGCAGAAATGAGACTCACAGGTCTCTTCACGTCTGGAAATGACCACAGGACTCTGAGACTGGCACCGAAGGTACTTCCCATGACAAAGGAAACCCACATCGGCAGCAACACTAAGAGTTTTCGCAGGTCCACGCCCAGTTCAGCCTGCAACGACTTCGCGAATGTCAAGACCCATGGAGGAAAGAAAGACCATCTTCTGTATTTCTATGTTCTCAAAAGTGAAAGAATCCAACCCCACTAGCTTCTTGTTCCTAGTAGTAGGGCCAGGAGCTACGTTCGTAGCGTCCGATCGCTCCGTTCGGTTCGCGATGCCCAAAATGCTCCGTTCGTAGCAGTCCAGTCCCTCAAGCAGAATTTTCGCACGCGGTTGACTGTGGCCTTTTCCAGCACGTTGAACTTCGATCGACGGCAACCTGCTTTCGACGCAGAGTTCGATCATCGTCAGTTGACGGCGGCAGTTGACCTAGCTTTGTTTTTCAAACGCGGCACAGTTGACGGTCAGCTACGCGCCTTTTCGAAGATGCATGACAGCTACACGTCCCAAAATGGAACCGATATCCGTCAAAGTGCCGGTCACATGTGTAGTGCGCACCTCAGCTCAGCTCAGCTCAGCTCAGCTCACTCGTCCGAGCTCAAGCTCTTCGGACGGGAGCACCTGAGGTTCCGACCACTGCGCCAAAGTGCGAGGTACACATGGCATTCCTGAGCACATGGAACCTGCTTCAACTTGCTTGTGTTTTGCTGACTCCAAACTTCAACGACTTCCAAAAAGGCCTCTTTTTTGCTCGATGCCCTGCGAAATGGTGAAAACGCGAGATTCCATGCAGGTCGAGTTTGTGCAGATGTGTGGTGAGCAACAAATGAGCAATCCAACATATGTCCAGTTAAGTTACCTACGCACCGCCCCCATCTCGGAAAAGGCAAACAGACATGACAAACATGGCCCGCTGCGCACTGTGGGATTGGCAGCCCGTGTCCAACTTGACACAGGCAGCTGTACTTACGGCTGCAAGTGTCCGCACTAGCTACTAGGAACAAGAAGCTACGAGGGGCTCCTGGCATCGCTACTAGGAGCAAGGATGCTACTAGGGGCTCCTGGCCTTACTAACAAGAAGCTACTAGTAACAAGAAGCCCCTAGTGTCAGCTTCCCAGCCCAATGCCATGAACCACATGCATGCCCACCGAACAACATCCCGGGCTGTGGTGTTGTGAGCTGTGGCAAGAGGGTGTGGCAAGGTCCATAATAGCTACTCCTTTCTACCTCTACCCCCCTGACCAAAGAGATCATCTGCAAATACACCTGTCGAAACCAGAACACAAACTAGACAATCGCAGAATCAGCGACAGTGCACCAATCAGTTCAGGTGTGTTCATGCTCGAGCTTCTGGCATTTGGCACCAATTCTTTCGACTACCCGTTCAGGCAGAACGGGTGTCCCTGAGAGTGCGGTTTTCCATTGATTTGCAGATTTTTTTTCTGGAAATTTTGCACCAGATAGAGACAATGATTTGCAGATGTTTTTCTATAACTTTTGCAACAGATAGAGACATTTCAGATAGGACCAGATGTTTTGAGTATTCAGAAATACCAAAAAATACAATTTTCCAGAGGTTTGGGAATTTGGTGGTTCCAAAAAACCTGGGGTTTCCAAAAAACCAAAAAAAAACAAAAAATAACATATTTCAAAACTCTTTCTGCAGAAGCCCCAAGTGCAAAGACCTCTGGATTTTTTTTTTGTTTTTTGGGTTTTTTTGTTTTTTGGAAACCCCAGGTTTTTTGGAACCACCAAATTCCCAAACCTCTGGAAATTTTGCACCAGATAGAGACATTTCAGATATGACCAGATGCTTTGAGTATTCATAAATACAAAAGACTACTAATTTCCAGAGGTTTGGGAATCTTGGGTCTCCAAAAAAAACAAAAGAACAAAAAACATCCAGAGGTCTTTGAACTTGGGGCTTCTGCAGAAAGAGTTCTGAAATATTATTTTTGTTTTTCATCTTTTTTGGTTCCTCTATCTGGCGGCCCAAGCAGACAGGGGACATCAATAGGAGGAAACATTGCAATACATGAATGGCCAAAAGTCATATCTAGTAAGCAGAGAATGGTTGTGGTGCAGTATCACAAGAGCAATGGATTTTAACAATGTATATTTTTCAAGAATGAAAACGCAGATGAAGAGATGCAAAATAACTTAGTAATAGGATATTTAAAAAACAAGATTGAAGGACACAAAAAACAGGATAAAGTGGCTGATAGAGAAATAGATGAAGACAACTATATCAATGAACATTGATGTTTGAATCATTTCCATGGCTGTTGTGCCCACTGTGGAGTAAAATCTTATATTGAAATGAAGCAAGGCAAATTATCAAAAAACTTCACAGCACAAAGACCAGACAATACACTGTGCCATTCTGTGGATAATTGCACTCCATACTGTAAGTATTGTAATTGTAGTGCTCACTGATTATTTTTGAAAATATGGAAGTAAAGCAACAACTTTAAGAGATGCAAAAAAAGATTCTGAAATAAAACTGTTTGATGTTGAATATTTTTTTTAAGAAAACATGTTGAGATAAAGAAAAAACACAGAGGTCAGAACAGTTTTGTAGCACCTCATTATAATCATACCTACCAACTTGACATATTGTTTTTGTTTGTTTTTTTTTAACCTGATGACATTGAAGCAACACAACAATTTTGAGCGGGTTTAGTAATGATAGATGTTCTGAGTAAATATGCTGTGGTAGTGCCAATAAAGAGTAAAACCCCACCTGACATAATTGCTGGAACTATGGAAGGCTTGACCCCACCTGCCATAATTGCTGGAACTATGGAAGGCTTACACAAAATGGGAAAGAAGTGCAAACTTTTGTATACTGATGATGAAAGAGGTATAGCAAGTGCTGATGGTGAAGGCATTGAGGGCAAGAGGACATCCTGTCTTCGCTGAAAGATTTTTAGGATATTTAAGGATAAACCATTCAAAAGGGTTGAAAATGATGAGAAGAAGGGAAAACAGAATATACAATGGACTGACTACATATTAGAAATAATGCTGACTTACAATAAAGATGTGCATAGTGCAACAGGACTAACACCAAATGAAGTAAGGAAAGAGAAGAATGAGTTTAAAGCAAAATTGAATGTATCAGTGAAAGCAAGTAAAGAAAATATGTATCCAACACTAGAGGTGGGAGACAGGGTAAAAATAATGAGGAAGAAAGCAATTACAGAGAAAGAGAGAACAAGTCATTTTTTACAAGGTGAATATACAGTAGAAAACATTGCAACAAAATTAGGAAAACAGTATCCAACGACTTATAATAAAGATGTGCATAGTGCAACAGGACTAACACCAAATGAAGCAAGGAAAGAGAAGAATGAGTTTAAAGCAAAATTGAATGTATCAGTGAAAGCAGGTAAAGAAAATATGTATCCAACACTAGAGGTGGGAGACAGGGTAAAAATAATGAGGAAGAAAGCAATTACAGAGAAAGAGAGAACAAGTCATTTTTTACAAGGTGGATATACAGTAGAAAACATTGCAACAAAATTAGGAAAACAGTATCAAACATTAGAATGATTTAATCGTCCATTATTAAGGCACAAATTGTTAAAAATATAGTTTATTTAACAAACAGACATTTTAAAGGAAATCTATTTAAAGAACTATTATGTTATAACACTACTGAAAATCAGAAAACAGCGCACTCTGACAAACACCCGGACTCTTCTTTCGACTACCCGTTCAGGTCTTGAGCGTTTTGGTTCCGAACATGGGAAGCCGTAGAAATACGCCAGAGAGTTCGTGTTTTAATTGGTTTGACCACATCTGAGGACCAGTGAAGCTGCCGCCAGCAATCCTTTTCTGAAGGGGTTGCCAAGTCGATGAAACAACAAGTTTTAGCAGAAGGACGTCAAACCTGCAGCGTCTCTGGCAAAACCCTCCCACTCCCACTTGAACATAAATAAACTCAAGTAGGCACATACCAAACAAAAAACAATTGTCCTAGAAATGACAAACATCATTGTGATATATTGTGATGATGTTGGTGATGTCTTGAAAATGCGTTGGCAGCATCAGCATCATTGATATAATTATGTAACATGTTCGCATCAGCATGGTTGGCAAACATAGTCAGCTTGTAAATGCCTGGTCAGAGCATACCGTTTGAGTTCTGTACGGGATGCGGACGCAAGATGACGGCGTTCGATGCTTAGAATCAAAAGTCGCAGACCGCTGCTAGGGTGGAGCTCGCTAGTAGAGATTGCCGGGCATCGCTAGTTTAGGTCGTGTTAGCATGGACTCTGGAAACCCAGCGGCTGAAGGCCACAGGCCATCGAGGCTAAATAGCAGGAGCATATTGGAGCATCCGGAAGCAATGCAGCTGTAATCAGCAGGAGACCATTGAGCACCTTGATGCACAAAGTCTGCACTGACTTTCTCATGACTCTCTCATCACTTTCGTTAGACTTTCATTCTTCGAGCTATCTGAGAACTGTCACACATTGAGGATCCGGCCAACGCAAATCCATACCAAGACTTGCCCCCAAAGTGCACCTCCACTCTTCATCTTTTTCTTCCACATGTCGCGAATATGTTTGGAGCCTGGAGCCTAGGGCCTAACTGACGCTGCAAGAATGCTCTCACGCAAACTGCCTGATTCTTGTCGATGAGCCTCAGTTTGAGGTGTCTCATTGACGAAGAGCTTTCTTCGCAAAAAGTCCACCGAAATACTCTTCCAGACCCCAAGTGCCACCCGGATTCCCCCCACTTCCTGACTGACACTTCTGCCAAGGAGCAATCCACAGGTGAAGGCACCAAAAACAAACATGCCCACCAAGCCAAAAGCCTGCGCCAGGAGTTCCGGTGGTTTCGAGTTGGGCGGTGCATGTGGCAAAGAAAAACCCAATTCTAGCTCGGCAGAATCCAGCATTCCAGCTCTAGGCCTTAACTGCAAACCGGATAACACGATCATATCATACGATCGTTTTGAGTCTCGTTTGGCCCAAGTGCCTTCCACATCTCGCTTGGCTGGCTATGGTAGCCTTCGATCTGAAGTCCGATCTTTGTTGAAGTGCCCGTCATATGGGAAACAAACCTCACAGAAACAGCACTTTCCCACAAACAGCGGGATCCACCGCATGTTGCACGCTGCCCAGTGACATCTGCCAACTTAGGAAAGCCACCGTGTTGACCTGACCATTTCAGAACAAATCCATTTGCAAAGCATCTGCAAACCCACAAAACCCTGAAAGGACAGCCAAGGCAGCCCAAGGCACAAATCCTGCACAGGAAGCCAAGAACCAGCCAAAGATCAAGACCCAATTCTGAGGTTTCTTGAAGCTTTTGCGGACTTCGTAGGCCTGCACTTCTCAAACCGAAACCAAAGCAGCCAAAACTGAAGCCACTCAAATGTGCCCCGACCGTTCCTTGATGTGAGTCTCAGACTGGCTGGAAAGCAAAGACATGCTCCTCAAAACTGCACATTGACATCCGATCGAGACATCTACATCAGTTTGCATTGTGCATCTACACTTCTGTTTTCCAAGTCCTCCTCTTCTGGAACGCCTCAAGTTTCCATTCTGCTTCACAGGTTCTTCCGTGGGCAGCACAAAATTACCAACCGCATACAAGTCTCAGATTTGGCTGCCGCAGCTGCTTCGCGTTGGGGAGAGGAGTCTCCGCTTTTGGGTGATGGGTTCGGACTGCTCGAAGGGTTTGACTGCATCTTTGGTGATGGTGATGATCTCCTCAAGGGGTGTTCAATTTTTTTTTTCGACGTATGCGTTTGAATGATCTAACCGCTCCATTCCACTTGTTCTTAGACTCGGTGTGGTGAGAACGTCCTGCTTCCACCCCGTGAAGCACCATCTTGCTCACGGATAGACATCACGCTCAGAGAGAATGCAGCGGAGGACCTTCAGAACAGGACGGACCACACAAGAACAGCAGAAATCAAAATGTTGATGTCCAACGCACAGTGAAGCTTTGAATCGGGTCAAGCGGCGGGGAATGACTGAGCTCACGTGGTTGGATATTTTGCGGCAAATCCAACAAGTCCATCGCACCAGTTGCCTTGGGCCTCACAGCAATCATGTGCAAAAGGAGTAATTTAAGGGTTGTAAAACTCAACTTCATCCCCGTGTGGCCAAACTTGATGAAATCCAGAGCCCCTGGCACTAGCATGCCAGGCAAAAAAATAATGGAAACTGAAACCTCACGCGCTGGAACAACAAAACCGGCTGATTTGGGCCAATGGACATGCCACGGATGTAGAAATGAACCACGGCGACAGTTTGTGAAACCCTTTCTCCGATGATAGGACCGGAAGGACTGTCAGGGCACGTCTCTGTCTTGCGTGTATGTGCAATTTGTTCACTTCAAAAACCCTCCCTGCAAATACCAGCTGATCGCCACTTCCAGGTCTCCAAAACGTGAGTTTACCCAGGTACGGTGAGGGGCAAGAATGGTCCTTGTCTCACGGGGTCCCAAGTGACCTGTGGCACCACGCACATAGTTAGTTGGGCAGAAGCTACAGTTTGTCGGGCAATCTTAAGCGTGCACGAAAATAAGTCAATTCTCTTGAACTGACCTCTTCCTCTGCCCCGTGAGCTTTTCAGCATAGATCCACGAAGGAACCAGCACTAAGTGTCAACGCTTACATCCCAAAGAATCCTTTGAGGAGACATTTGGAGGAGGCAGGCTGAAAAAACAACTCTCGTGCTACATGCAAACCTGTAAAAGCACGGGTGCGGGTTTTTCACTCTTGAGTTGAAGCCACTGCAGTCAAGTCAGTGTCTCTCTACATGTGCTTCCATGCGACTGTATGATCTGGCGTGAGTGCATCTAACACCCTGCCTTATGGATGCATGTGCTAATGCGTCCATTTTTTCTCTACAAGCAAGCTAGGTGGCCAGAAGCTATTCTCGACTGAAACCACCAAAGTTTCAAAAGCTTGTCTCTCACTTCAGCGCTGGCCGTCCTGCTCGGCGCCATCGGGCTCTTCGTTCTCCTTGTCCATGTCATCATCTTCTTCGCTCATGACTTCTTCCATGAAAGTCATCCTCCTTCTCAGACAAGGAGGCTCACTATCTTGTAGTCCAGCTCGAATGCGATCCGTCGAGCTGCCTGCATATGTTGTCCTCTCAGCTGCTTCAGCTGCACTGAATGCCAATCCTGCCATGCTGTGCTCTCCAGGAATGATGTGTGCTTCTTCTGGTAGTACCTGCAACATCACCTCTTCTATGCCTCGAAGTTCTTGTTCAACATCGCGTCCTTCTCCTCGTTAATGTCGCTCCAGCGAATTCACCAGCTGCATCCATGTCGTTTGTTGCTCTCTCAATTGTTTCCCTTTCCAATCTTTGTAGCTTCTCGATGAATCTGAAGCTTCTTCTGCATCCTTCTGGAGTTGTGCAATCGTCAATTGCTTCCAAGATCTCTTTGAGTAGGATCTGCAGCCTGCCAAACATATCTCCATTCAACACCACTCTCTGCGTCACTGCCGTCTCCAGGATCTGGTTGATCAAGCCTGCCAACTCATGTCCTGCGTGAACTAGATGAGTTTCAACTCCTTCTCCTCTCATCAGCATCTGCTGTCGATACCAGTCGAAAGTCTCCTGGTCATCCGGGATCATGTCGTAGAGCTTGTAGTGATTGCTGTTGTCAGCTATCATTTCACCAATGCGTCTGCCTGTTTCCTCAAGTGTCATCCAATGTTGATCATCTATGTCTTGTGATCTGTTCTGAGCTTCTGCATGTCGATCTCATTCTGAATCTGGATCAAAATCAAGCCGTTCTCGTGAACTATCACTTGAGATCTCTCCATGACCATCAGAGGTCATCCATTGATGTTCATCTTCTCCATGACCATGTTGTTGTACTCGTCGAACTTGTCCATGTAGGTGTTCATCTCCATTTCTGGTTCTGGTTCTTGAATGTCATCTGGTCTCATTGCTTCATGTGAAGCTTCTTGTTGTATTCGTCTGCTTGGTCCATGTGCTGCTTCTTCTTGATCACCGCTCTGTCCAGCCTGTGTAAAAACATCAAATCGTTCTTGTCCAGGTTGACTCAAAGTTTGTTCTGGACTTGGTTCCTCTCCAAGAGGTTCTTCTTCTCTTCTGGAACTTGTTCATGTTGATCTGGTAGATCTTGATCATGTTCTTCTTGCGCTTCATCGTAGCGGTTCCTGCCGCTGCTTCCTGCTCGCCTGAAAGGAACGGGAAATGCGTTCATCAATCCTCTCTGGAATCTTGATGGATCAATGTCTTGCCATACACCTTGTAGTGCTACGTACTCTTCACCAAGTTCTGCTAGTGCTCCTATATGAAGTGGAGGTCGCCATCCTAACCTCATTGCATCTCCAGGTGTCATTCTTTGTCGCTGTCTCCTTGGTCTGTCTGGAGTGATGCCTGACGTAAAAGGTCCGCTCTCCTGTGAAGTTGATGTCGGGGATGAAGAACTGTTAGGATCTCCTGGTCGTCGAAGATGTCGATCTGGTCGTAGTCGTTGCGTCAACTCGTCGAAAACATTCTGTGAAAATCTCAGCTGCACTTGCTGCAATCTGATCGCGTAGATCAGGTACGCAATCAGCAATGTCAACGCTGCCATCACCATGTTCTTGATCGTGAGGTAGTCCATCAATAAAGCGTCTACACCTGTCAGGAAGGTGTGCTCACAGCCTTGTAGAAAACAGCTACCTGCTAGTAGGACTCTCAAAATCTCCTGGAGTGATCTGCTGTCCAATGTCTTCTCTGTCTCAATGTTCTGAATCTCCATGCCAGTCTGAAATCCTATGGGAATCAAAGTCATCAGCTTCTTTCTTCGCTCTTGTGAAAGTTTCTTCGTGTTCAGATCTGACGGGTTGATTGCTGTTGGAACCCTGCACAAGCGAATGATCTTCTCTCGAACCAAATCTTGGATCCACAAATTGCGGATGTGAATGCGCTTTAGCTTTCCTTGTCCGGCTCTCTGCATTATGCCTCTAGCTGCCGAGCTATCGCTGTACGCTGTCATCTGAACATCTTCTCCTATCAGAAATTTCAGCAAACTGCCAACGCGCAAAAGTTCGGCAAAGCCACTGCAACTTGCATAGAGTTCTGATTCTGCACTTGATAGTGCTTTTGGGCTTTGTAGCTTGCGCGAGGAAATCAAAAGATCACCGTTCATGAAAATCAGGTAGGATGTCGTCGGCTTTCTTGAAACTTTGCGTCCTGCCCAGTTAGCACCTGTGAATGCTTCCAGGTTGAAAGGTTGTCGATCTTGTCGGTTGCTCCACTCTGGATAGTCCCAATGATCGACTTGTGATCTGGTACATCTTGGCTTGCATCAGCAAGACTCCTGCTTCTTGTGTTCCATTGAGGTAGCTTGCCAAGTGTCATAATGCTGTGAAAGCTAATTTTGTTCCACCTGCCATGTATGTTAAAAGCGTCTTCAGCGCTTCCTGGATGTCTGGTCGATCTTGTGCTATGTAAAGTGCTAGTCCGAGACCTGAGCGGAAAATCTGCTGTCCTTCGGCGTCAAGCCGTTCATTGTCTTTGATGTCATCTTTGCTGTAGATAGACTTGAATGGTGTGGTAGGCTCTTTGCCTTCTTCCCTTCTAGCTCCAAGAGTTCCACCATCTTCTTGATGTAGGAGGGATTCGGTTGGATGAAAATCCCCTGCCTTGCCAACATCACCTTCTTCTTCAAGTAGTACAGCGTTTCACCGCTGTTGAATCTGAAAGGTCCTTCTGAGTTCATCGTGAGATGTGTTCTCACCATTGCGCTGAACCATGCCCAATCATCTGGGTTTCACGTCACCAAAACATCGTCCACGTGGATCATCATGAAAATCGTTTTCTCCACATGTTTGAAAACTGTCGGCGTACCTTTGTAGGATTGGAACCCGGCTTTCTCCACTAGTTCTTTGAAAAGTTCAATCCACATGAGTGCTGCATTTCTCTGGCCTGGTAGGCACTTCAGTAATTTCCACTTCTCAGCCTTCAGTAGTGGATTGTTGGTTGCATCTTTCTCTCCAAGCTCTTGGACCCATTGTGGTACAATCACTTCTACTGGTTCTCATTGTCGAACGCCACGCTGAGGAATGCGTCCTTGATGTCTGCTACATAGAGCTGCAGATTGAAGATCGACCGCTAAACAATGATCAGCTTCACGGTGAAGCTTGCTGGTGTTGGACTGAATTGCGCTTCGTCCGTGTTGGATGTCCTGTACTCTCTGGCAAGAATTCTACATCTTCTCTTCCACTTTCCACGATATCGCCAGTCAAAAACACATGTTGTGTCCAAAATCAATGCTTCTTCTTTCTCATCAGGATCTGCTACTGCCAACACTTCTAGCTTCTGTAGCCCTTCGATCACTTCAAGTGTTGCTTCTCGATCTAGCTGTGCTAGTATGTCATCGCTCGCTGTTGGAGGTCCGTCTCGTTTTCTCTGTCAATGAGCTTCTCCGAGAAAACCATCTCGATGTCGAGTTCTGGATGTGACTCTTCATCAAACTGCCATTCTTCCAAGTAGATCAGCTTGTTCATCTACATAGCGTTCTTGAACTTGTCGGATGTCTCCGGCGAATGTCGGACTTTTCTGTCCGGGCTGCTTTTGCTGTGTGTTCTGAAGTCTCTTCACTATGCTTGTATGCCTTTTCTGGCTGTTCTTCACTTCCTCCTTCAAGAGGGTGTGTTCTCGGCTCTTCTGCTGGGATGTGTCCATTGCTCCTGAACTGCTACTTCCTTTGTCTTCTGGAGCTTCGAGTCGAGGCTTCTTTGTAACGTGTTCATCTTCTTCCTCATGTGCCCTGCCTGAGTCACTTGGAGTGTACTCCTCTTCATCGCTTCCTTCAGGATGTTGTTCATGATAGTCTTCAACTGCCTTCTCATCTGGATCTGTCGTGGTTGGATGAAGAACTGGTTCTGGAGGTTGTAGTTCTCTCAACTTGACCATCATCATTCCATGCGCTGCAGCTTTCTTCAAAGTCTCTGGAGTGATCGCGAGGCTAATGAGTAGCTCCTTGTCATACTCCTTGGCGGAAAGTCGAACTGCTCGTGTCCTTACCAGTCTCTCTCCTTCAAATGCAACTATGTCTTGATCTGCTCCATCCTTGCCAAGCCAAACTCCTCTGAGCCATCTTCGCTCATACTTGGATCTGCACTCGTCCAAAGCAAACACCGTGCTCCCACATGAACAGATTCTGCTAGCATATGGTCCACCATGTAGTGCTTGAAATGGAGTCATCTTCAGCGTTGAGTGCACT